CCAAGATCACAATGCAGCAGAGCCAAGACTCCTCAGTCTGGCAGTCTGGCCTCAGAGTCTGTGCTTTCAGTAGCTACACTCATCTGCTACCAGGTGACTATCCAGTGGAGAAGTTGCCTAGGCAGCTAGGTATACGATATGAGTCTTGGCCTCATGGAGGGATGGAGAATGGAAACAATGAACTTGTATACACTTGGGAATTGTGTTAGTTTCCTAGGGCTGCTATCCCAAAGTGTCACAAACTGGGTGGCTTAAAACAACAGAAATTTATTCTCTCAGAGTTCTAGAGGCTGGAAGTTTAGAATCAAGGTGTTGGCAGGGCCATGCACCCTCTGAGACTCTGGATAGAATCTTGCCTCTTCCTAGAAGCTGGTGGTGGCTGGCAATCCTTGGAATGCTGCCTGTTGCTTGGACAAGTAATGGAGCCTGGTCCCTGAATGACCTATAACCAACAGGTGAATTGACTAAAGCCACCTTGGCTTGCAGCTGTATCTCTCCAATCTCTGCTTCCATCATTACATGATATTCTCCTTATGTGTCTGTCTTCACATCATCTTCATCTTTTTTTTTGGAGTTTGAGTCTCACTCTGTTGCCCAGACTGGAGTGCCCAGACTGGAGTGCAGTGGCCGCTCCTCAACCTGCTGGGCTCCGGCGATCCTTCCGCCTCCGCCTTCCAAGTAGCTGGAACTACAGGCGCATGCTACCATGCCTAGCTAATTTTTTGATTTATTGTAGAAATGAGGTCTCACCAAGTTGCCCAGGCGGGTCTCGAACCCACGGACTCAGGCAATTCACTCACTTCAGCCTCCCAAGGCACGGGATTACAGGCTGAGCCACCGAACCCGGCTGTCTTCCATCTTCTTATAAGGACATGGGTTATATTGGTCCTTATAACCCATGGACCAACCCCTGGACCACAGACCAATACCAGTCTGTGGCCTGTTAGGAACCAGGCCACACAGCAGGAGGTGAGCAGCCAGCAAGCAGAGTTCTGTCTGCTGTCAGATCAGTGGCGGCATTAGATTCTCATAGAAGCATGAACCCTGTTGCGAACTGCACATGCAAGTCATCTAGTTTGTATGCTCCTTATGAGAATCTAATGCCTGATGATCTGAGGTGGAGATGCTAGTCCTGGGGAATGGCTGAAAAATACAGATTAACATTAGCAGTGAGGTTTGACTGCATATCTCAACCCCCTCCCCCATCCATGGAAAAGTTGCTTTCTACAACACCAAGCCCTGATGCCAAAAAGGTTGGGGACCACTGGATTAAGGGTTCACCTTACTTCAGTTTGACCTCATCCTAATTACATCTGCTTCCATCATCACATGGTGTTGAAGCCAGCAAAGAGGCTGAGAAGGAGCAGTAAGTTGTAACTGTAATAGGTCCATTTCCCGACATGTACAGCAAGTCAATACACGGAGACACCACGTTGTAGCAGAAAAAGGTTTAATTGTAGGGTCACTGATCCTCAAATCCTTCTCCCCAAGGAGTTTGCAGCGGGAGTTTTTAAGGGTTTTAGAGTTGGTCAAAGTGTGGAGATTGTTGATTGGTCAAAGAGTGCAGGGGGAAGTTATGGAACAGGGAGATGAGAAAATGTGTTCTCATACTGATTCTGTTCCTCTGTGGAGATCTTCAAACTGGTTGGTGTCAGCTGTTTCACTGGAATTCACAACCTGAAAAAAATCTTAAGCAATTCTTAAACCAAAGCCTTATGATTTTAGTGTTAGACAGAAATCCTATCAACGAAGATGCAAATGGTCAATATCTAGTGATTTTTGGTTATAAGGAAATGGGTCAAAGTGCAGCCAGATTAATGATTAATGATAATATATTTCTGTTCAGAGTTCTTATCTCTATGAGGATAGTTTCAAGTGAGGTAGGAGCAAGGTGGGAGTGTGTGGTTTCCTGGAAGCTATGAGAAGAAACGTGTATCAAGGAAGAAGGAATATCAGCTGAGTCCAATGTAGCTAATAAATCAAGAGGAGGCCGGGCATGGTGGCTCACACCTATAATCCTAGCACTTTGGGAGGCTGAGGTAAGAGGATTACCTGAGCCCGCTGATTCAAGACCAGCCTGGGCAACTTTGCCGAGACCTCATCTCTATAATAAATCAAAAAATTAGCCAGGTATGGTGGCTTGTGCCTGTAGTTCCAGCTACTTGGAAGGCTGAGGTAGAAGGATCACCTGAGCCCAGCAGGTTGAGGCTGTGGTGGTCGTAAGCATGCCACTGCACTCCAACCTGGGTGACATAGTGAGACTTAGACTCAAAAAAAATCAAGAGGAGAGCCGGGTTCAGTGGCTCAGCCTGTAATCCCGTGCCTTTGGGAGGCTGAGGTGAATGGATTGCCTGAGCCCATGGGTTCGAGACCCGCCTG